AACTCAATTCTGAGTAGCCCATGGGTCAAAGAAGAAATTACCAAGGAGACTAGAAAATATCTTGAATAAATGAAAATGGAAACACAACATATCAGAATTTGTGGGATACAGCTAAAGCAGTACTTAGAGGGAAATTATGACTGCAGATGCTCATAGTAGTAAGGAAGAAAGACCCAAAATCAATAATCTAAACTTTCACCTCAAGACACTACAAGAAGAGTTCATCCAAGGAAGGTAAAAGGAGGACAAAATAAGCCAGAGCAGAAACCAGTGAGATTGGGGAAATCACTGAAACCTCAAATTACCAAAATCAAATGAAAGTGGGACATCACTGAAAACCCTACAGAAACCAAAAAAATTATAAGAGAACATTATGAGAAAATTTATGCCAATGAAATAGACAACTTAGACAAAATGGAAAAATTCTTAGAAAGACACAACCAAAACTTTTTCAATAATAAATAGAAAATCCAAATACATAGACCTATATCAAGTAAAGAAATTGAATTACTAATTTAAAATCTTCCCACAAAGAAAACTCAAGCCCTGTTGGTTTCATTGTGAATCTGTAAACTATTTAAGGAAGAAATAATAGCCCTACACAAACTCTATCAGAAAATAGAAGAGGAAGGAACACTTGTAAACTCATTTTATGAGGCCGGTTTTACTCTGATACCAAAACCATAAGGAAAGAAAACTACAGACTAATATTCTTCATGAATGTAGACCCAAAAATCTTTTAAAGATTTTTAGCAAACTAAATCTAGTAACATATAAAGAAGATTAAACACTGTGACATACAGAATTTATTCCAGAAGTGTAAGGTTGGCTTAATAGCTCAAATTCAATTAATAGAGGATTGAAACCACATGGTCATCTAATTAGATATAGAAAAAACACTTGATAAAATCCAACACCCATCTTCAATAAAAACTTTTAAGAAATGAGGACTAGAAGGAATTTTCTCAATTGGATAAAGGGCATCTTTGAGAATCTTAGATCTCACATCACACTTCATGGTGAGAGACTGAATGCTTTTTCCCTATGATCAGGAACAAGTCAGGATTTCCATCTTTACTGTTTCTATTCAATATTATAACGTTTACTCATTGTATAAAAAATTAAAGGCATCCACATTTGAAAAGCAACGTAAAACTGTCTTAGTTCACAGATAACGCGGTCTTGTATGTAGAAAATCCTAAGGGGTTTACAAAAAATTACTAGAATTAATAGTGAGTTTAGCAAGATCACTGGGTATAAGAGCAACATATTAAAATCAATTGAATTTTTTTATTGGTGTCATAATAGTTTACAACATTGTGAAATTTCAGTTGTACACTATTATCTGTCAGTCACTATACATATGTACCCCTTTACCCCTTGTGCCCACCCACCAACCCCTACCCCTCTGGTAACCACTAATCTGTTCTCTTTCTCCATGTATTTGTTTATCTTCCACATATGAGTGAAAACATACGATGTTTGTCTTTCTCAGTCTGGCTTATCACTTAACATAATACCCTCAAGTTCCATCCATGTTGTTGCAAATGGGACGATTTTGTCTTTCTTTATGGCTGAGTAGTATTCCATTGTATATATAGCACATCTTCTTTATCCAGTCATCAGTCGATGGGCACTTGGGTTGCTTCCACATCTTGACTATTGTAAATAATGCTGCCGTGAACATAGGGGTTCATGAGTCTCTTTGAATTGCTGACTTCAAGTTCTTTGGATAAATACCCAGTAGTGGTATAGCTGGATCAGATGGTATTTCTATTTTTAATTTCTTGAGAAATCTCCATACTGTTTTCCATAGCAGCTGCATCAGTTTGCATTCCCACCAACAGTGTATGAGGGTTCGTTTTTCTCCACAACCTTTCCAACGTTTGTTGTTTTTTGTCTTGGTAATTATGGGAATTCTAATAGGTGTAAGGTGATATCTCATTGTAGTTTTGATTTGCATTTACCTGATGATTAGTGATGTTGAACATCTTTTCATGTGCCTTTTGGCCATCTGTATATCCTCTTTGGAAAAATGTCTGTTCATATCCTCTGCCCATTTTTTGATCAGGTTGTTTGTTTTCTTGTTTTTGACTTGTATGAGTTCTTTATATATTTTGGAAATTAACCCCTTGCCAGATATATGATTTGCAAATATTTTCTCCCAGTTGGTGGGTTGTCTTTTCGTTTTGTTCATAGTTTCTTTTGCCTTGCAGAAGCTCTTTAGTCTCATGAAGTCCTGTTTGTTTTTCCTTTGTTTCCCTTGCCCAAGTAGATATGGCATTCAAAAAGATCCTTCTAAGACCGATGTCGAAGAGTGTACTGCCTATATTTTCTCCTAGAAGTTTTATGGTTTCACATCTTACCTTCAAGTCTTGAATCCATTTTGAGTTAATTTTTGTGTATGGTGTAAGATAATGGTCTACTTTCATTCTTTTGCATGTGGCTGTCCAGTTTTCCCAACACCATTTATTAAAGAGACTCTCCTTTCTCCATTGTATGTTCTTAGCTTCTTTGTTGCAGACTAGCTGTCCATAGATGTGTGGTTTTATTTCTGGACTTTCAATTCTGTTCTGTTGATCTGTGTGTCTGTTTTTGTACCAGTACCATGCTGTTTTGATTACTATAGCTTTGTAGTATATTTTAAAGTCAAGAATTGTGATGCCTCCAGCTTTGTTCTTTTTTCTCAGGATTGCTTTAGCTATTCGGTGTCTTTTGTTGCCCCATGTGAATTTTAGGATTCTTTGTTCTATTTCCATGAAGAATGTCATTGGAATTCTGATTGGGATTGCATTGAATCTGTAGATTGCTTTAGGTAGTATGGACATTTTAACTATGTTTATTCTTCCAATCCATGTGCATGGAATATTTTTCCATTCCTTTATGTCATCATCAATTTCTTTTAATAGTGTCTTATAGTTTTCATTGAACAGGTCTTTCACCTCGTTGGTTAAATTTATTCCTAGATATTTTATTCTTTTTGTTGTGATTGTAAATGGGATTGTCTTCTTGAGTTCTCTTTCTGTTAGTTTGTTATTCGAGTATAGAAATGCAACAGATTTTTGTAAGTTGATTTTGTACCCTGCTACTTTGCTGTAACTGTTGATTATTTCTAATAGTTTTCAGATGAATTCTTTAGGGTTTTCTGTATATAAAATCATATCATCTGCAAACAGCAAGAGTTTCACTTCCTCCTTGCCTATTTGGATACCTTTTATTTCTTTTTCTTGCCTAATTGCTCTGGCCAAAACCTCCAGTACTATGTTGAATAAGAGTGGCGAAAGTGGGCACCCTTGTCTTGTTCCTATTCTCAGAGGGATGGCTTTCAGTTTTTCCCCATTGAGTATGGTGTTGGCTGTGAGTTTGTCATATATGGCCTTTATGTTGAGGTGCTTTCCTTCTATACCCATTTTATTGAGAGTTTTTATCATAAATAGGTGTTGGATCTTGTCAAATGCTTTCTCAGCATCTATTGAGATGATCCTGTGGTTTTTATTCCTCATTTTGTTAATGTGGTGTGTCACATTGATTGTCAATTGAATTTTATATCTGAGAAATAACTTATCAAAAATTGAAATTAAGAGAACAATTTCATTCACAAGAGCATCAAAAATAATAAAAGATTTAGGGCCGGCCCGGTGGCACAAGTGGTTAAGTGCGCGCACTCCGCTGCAGCGACCCAGGGTTCGCCGGGGTCAGATCCCGGGCGTACACTGACGCACCGCTTGTCAAGCCATGCTGTGGCAGCGTCCCATGTAAAGTGGAGGAAGATGGGCACGGATGTTAGCCCAGGGCCAGTCTTCCTCAAGCAAAAAGAGGAGGATTGGCAGATGTTAGCTCAGAGCTGATCTTCCTCACAAAAATAATAATAATAATAATAATAATAATAATAATAAAAGATTTAGAAATAAATTTAGCAAAAGTTCAAGACCTGTGCACTGAAAACTACAAAACATTGCTGAGAAAAAGTAAAGAATATTCAAATAAATTATGATATACTGTGTTCATGGATTGAAAGACAATATTTTTTAAATGGCAAATTTCCCCAAGTTGATGTGTACATTCAGTGCAATTTTGAAGAAATCAGCAAGATGATTCTCAGATTTATATGCAAGTTCAAAGGATCTAGAATAGAGAAAACAAATTTGAAAAAGAAGAACCATTTTGGAGAATTTACACTACTTGATTTCAGAACTTTGGTCATCAACACAGTGTGGTATTGGTGTAAGGATAGACCTATAAATCAGTGCAACCGAATAGAGAATACAGAAATAAATTCTTACGTTTAATTAATTAATTTTTGACAAAGATGCCATTGCAATTCAGTGGAAGGAGAGGATATTATTTTCAGCAAATGGTGCTTGAACACGTGCAGTAAAAATGAACTCACACCCTTACTTCTCACCATACACAAAAAAGCAATTCAACACAGATCACGTAAGAGCAAAAACTAAATGTTTCTACAAAAAGACACAGGAGACAATCTTTGAGACCTTGAGTTAGGCAAAGGCTTCTTAGAAATGACACCAACATGATCCATAAAAACAAAAACTGATGAATTGGATTTCATCAAAATTAAAAACTTTGCTCTTCAAAAGACACTATTTAAAAATAATAAAAAGACAAGTCCAAAGCTGTGAAAAAAATATTTGCAAATCATGTATATCAGGAAGAACTTGAATCTAGAATGTATAAAAACTCAGTAAAAAGACACTAATGAGAAAAGAAAAACCTAATTTAAAGAACAGCAAAATATTTACAAATGTCTGATAAGCATGTGAAAAGTTGCTCAGCAACATTAGTCATTAGTGAAATGCAAATTAATACAATATGGATGCTTATTTAGAAGATTTTTGAGTGAGTTTGTCTGGTTTCTGATTTTTCTCTTTCACTAAAATTAACCCAGAAATGGGGAGCAGAGAAGTACATCACCCTTCCCAGAAATTCCCCTGCTTCTTTTAAGGGAAGGGTTTTAAGTGCCACCTCCTTTCCTCTGCCAGGTCGTCACGTCCATCGGTGAGCTGGTTGAAGTGTGTTCCACCCAAATCCAGTCGGGGTGGAGGCCCTTGTTCAGTGCCCTGGAAACAGTGCACAGCGGGGACAAGTCTGAGGTGAAGGAGTACCTGGTTGGTGACTACTCCATGGGTAAGAGTGTTTATTGATTTTGTATCCTGAAACTTCACTGAATTCGTTTATTTTAATTTTTTCGGTGGAGTCTTTAAGATTTTCTATATGTAAGATCATGTCATCTGCAAACAGAGACAATTTTACTTCTTCCCTCCAAAATTGAATGTGTTTTATTTCTGTTTCTTGCCTAATTGCTCTGGCTAGGCCTTGCAGAGGAGTGAGTGTGGAAGGAACGTGTGAGTGATTTTTGCTGTAGAGCAATAGTTCTCTTGCAAGCTTCATGCTATCCAAAGAAAGTGAACAAGAAGGAAGACTGGCATTCAGCTGTTGTACCAGCAGGAAATAAGCTGGTGCAGCAGGTACACAGGTGCTGAGCTCTGCCTGAGCTTCGTCAGGCCCTGCCCTTACCGGCGGGTTGGACAAAAGGCCGAGAGACTTCCCTTGTTTCGCTTATACATATCTGCGTTGAGTGAATTTGTAAAGCCAAAAAGAAAAACGTCATCTGCTTGCTAGTAAGAAGCAGAGCAGTATCATAACACTGGGGGACCTGAATTAGGGAGATCAGATCTGGCTGGAAATAGATGGGCACCCATAAGGCAGGCCCAACAGCCAGGGGCGTTGTGTCAGGGTCCCCAAGACCACCCCTATGTGCAGAGACCCACCAGAAGGACTCAGGGCTCAGCATGTAGTTATGCTAAGATTTATCATATGCTCAGATTTATTACAGGGCTCACAGCTAAGATTTATTATTTATTATTTATTATTATTATTTATTATTATAGCAGCATAGTATGGACAAGCCAGATCTTAAGGGAAACAGAATCTGGGGAATCCCTGTGCAGGCTTCCTAGTGTTCTCACCCTCCCTCAAAGGGTCTCATGGAGCACACTCTTCCCCAGAAGTGAAAAGGCAGCAACATGAGTGTGATGTTTCTGCCCGGGGAAGCCCAGCTGAGGGCTGGTCATGTAGGTACCCTCTGCTTAGCAAGCACCGAAATCTAGACTCCCCGAAGGCAAGTGGGTGTTCAGAATAAACCATATTGTTTGCACAAACAGTCTAGGCACAGTGAACCACCCTTATCAGTTACCTGTTGCCTGGGAATATTCTGAGACCCAAGTTCCCGGATGCCAGCCGAGGGCCAGCCTTGCAAGCAGACCTTTCTAAGGACGGCAGCCCCATGCCTGCTATGTTGACTCTTTTCTGCATGTGCATGAGTAATTAGCATGTGCCATGGGGGGCTTGTCTAAACCTTCCCTCCCTAGAATTATGTGCACAGAACTCCAGAGGCCCGCCTGTTTCACTGCCCTCTGACCCACACATTGCCTCAGCCTTGCGTTCAACCAGCTCTGCCCTCCTTTCTGCTGAGCTCCCCTGCAGGCACAGCTGAGAAGGACGACATGGGAGCCAAGCCAGTTGTCCAGTCAGAAGGCCCAGGCTTCCCTACAGTACATCTTTTCCCAGGCCCCATGGAATGTGCTGGGAGTACAGGCAACCTGAAGGGAAGAGACTTCGCTGTCTTAAAACTCTACAATCTTCCTCCCTCAGGAAAAGGCCAGGCTCCAGTGTTTGATGTATTTGAAGCTTTTCTCAGCACCGACAACATCCAGGTCTTTGCGAATGCAGCTACTAGTTACATCATGTGCCTTATGAAGTTTGTCAAAGGACTGGGTAAGCAGAGTCCTCCTCTCGTGCCTCATGACAGCAGGGGGCCTTTTCGGGGATGGCTTTGTCTGGACCTCCCGGGAGCAAGCAAGCTTCTGGGATATAGGCAGATGGCGGTGCATTGTATACTCAGAAGCAGAAAGCTTATTGTCAAAGCAGCTTGGATTTTGTCCAGGGTTATTTTTCATTGTATTCTTGGGATAATCTTGTAATGATGCGTGTTTTCAATCCATACGTTATTTTACTCCAGCTTCTTTTTGAATCTTAAAATAGTCAGTATTTACTCAACAGTTGTCCTTACGCAGGAAACTGCTGTCCTCGATGTCACGTAGTCAGCAGCCCGAGTTTGAGTTCCCAGCTCCTAAACAAAAAATAAGAAAGCCTCCCCCCAGGCCTTATTAATCGTAAAATGTATTTTGGAAGTATAAAGATCGCCCTTCTTTGAGGCCTCATGTATTTCAAGAACTACCTAGCTGGTTTTGTGCTTAATTTAGGAATACTTTAACACAGTAGAGGCATGCTGTACAACATTACCTGCTGTAACATCTGGGGTGCAATGGAAGGTGGTGGTGGTTAGTTAAACCAAAAGTTTAGAAGGAACTTAAGTCTTAAAGTTTTGAGGGTTTCACCCTGGAGTGCTCTTAGACCTAGAACCTGAGGGTCTTTTATGTAAGGAAAATATAAGGTTCACAATATTCTTTTCTGTTCTTGCTAAATAACTGACAATTCCTTTGTAAAAGAAAACTGGACACAAAGAAGCTAGGTGACTTCACTCATGTTCCCCTATGTTGGAGCAGGAACAAAATGTAAGTTTCAGGATAGAGGCTGGAGGCCCCAGGTCTGATCTATGGGCCTTGGGATAAGTGCAAGACCCTCATTCTCTTCTCTGCACTCTGGGAAGTAGAGGGCTGAGCCGAGGCAAGCCTGGCAGCCCCTCGCTTATTGACTCTATGTACAGGGCTTCACAGGAAGATTTCTTTGAAATGACAGAGTAAGAGGTTATTTTTTTTTTAAACTCTGCTCTATATTAAATGGAAGCCAAATAATTTAGTGTCTTAATCATAAGATCACCTTAAAGTATGAATCTTTGCATTAGATAGTAGAAAATTCAGGTAAAACTCACTCCTCCTTTACTCACATGACTGCCACACTCCCACTTCTGACACCAGATGTGTGGGTTTTTTTCCACACCAAGCAATTTTCTGTGACACCAGCTAGATGTCCTACAATTCAGTTCAATTCTGACACTAACCAGAGTTCGCACAGACCCCACAGGTTAAGGGCTCAGTCCTAGGAGACTGCCCCCCATCTCAAATGCCAATTGCAAGTAGTAGGTCCCCAGGTTACCCACAACTTCAGTCCACTTGTCTACAAATCAGAGGTTCTTATGACCCCCACCCCTTGGATTTAGTTTGTTAGAACAGCTCACAGAACTCAGGGAAATGCTTACGTTTACCAGTTTATTCTATAATAGAGGATGTGATAAAGGATACAGATGAACAGCCAGATAAAGAGATACACAGAATGGGGTCCAGAAAGGTCCCAAGCGCAGGAGCGTCTGTCCCCGTGGAGTTGGGGTGCACCCACCTCCTGGTGTGGATGTGTTCATCAACCCAGAAGCTCTCCAAACCCCATATTTTTTATGGAGGCTTCATCATGTAGGCATGATCAATCGTTAACTCAATTTCCAGCCCCTCTCCCCTTCCTGGAGCATAGAGAGTGGGGCTGAAAATTCCAAGCTTCTAATAGTGTGGTCCTTCTGGTGACCAGCTCCCAACCAGGAGTCCACCAAGCATTGCCTTATTAGAACAAAAGACTCTCCTATCACCCAGGAGATTCCAAGGGACTTAGGAACTCTGCATCAGGAACCAGAGTCAAAGCCCAAATATTAGAACGAAAGATGCTCCTAGCATTCTTATCACTTAGGAAATTACAAGGTTTTAGGAGCTCTGTGCCAGGAACTGGGGGCAGAGACCAATGTATATATTTTCTATTATTTCACAGTCCTGTATTTCATTTAAGAACCATGATTATTGGTATTCTATTGTTCAGTGAACTGTTGAGTTCCTGCTACGTGGGTGTGGTGGTCTGGACGTGCTATGGGGATACAAAAATGACTAAAACATGCTTCCTGCCTGTGAGAGACTCACAGACACATAAATCAATAATTACCGTTCAGGAAGTTGAATACATTTATAGAGGCTAGTAAAAAAAAAGCCATTTATGCTGAAATGAACAAGCAGCTGAAACGGGTGTGTGGTAGTGGGGTCCATGCAGGCTTCAGGAAGGGAGTGACATTTGAAGTTTGTGGAGGGAGCTGTCTGTTTAGTTTTCTAAAGATATGGGTACACTGGGGGTGCCCACATTGGAGGGATAATGGGTGAGGAGTTGGAAAGAAGGAAGAGGCCAGGCTGTGAGGCTCTGCAGGCTACCTCAGGGAATCTGGGATATGTGGGGAAGGTTTTTAAGCTAAAGAGTGGGGCTATCACATCAATATCAGAGACTAAACTCTGGCAAGCACATGTCTCTGTATGTGGGGACAAGAGGCTGCAGTGGGAAAACCAGTGCTGCGGTGGTTTGGGAGAGCATAGAGAGGATGGAATTCAGGATATTGGAGAGGTGGGATCTACAGGATGGGACTGCTCGGATGTGGGGCCTGGAGAGGAGGAACTGAGGATGACTCCCCACTCCCCAAGTTTCTTGCAAAGACTGATGTTACCCAGAATTTGTATGTCCAAAAGGAGAGCAGATTAGGTGTGGAGGAGAAGAAACTGTAGTGAATTCTATCTTTGGACATTTGGACATGTTGAGTTTCTGTGAAATATTCAGGTGGAGATGCCTAGCAGCATGTTAGAAATTTGAGATTTTATCTTAGGGAGGGAGATGGGACCTGAAAATAGAGATGCAGAATTATCGATGTGCACGTGAGTATATTTAAAACAGACAGGTTCTGTTTTTTCTATGAATTATAAGGTGAGTTATTTGTGTGAGGCTTGGGGTCCGTGGGACGTCTGAGCCCCCAGTATAGCCATGCTGGCTTGTACTGCCCGGCTCCGGGGAGCGCCATCTGCACAGACTTTGATGAGCAGCACAACAGCTTCAGTAGAAACTTTGGAACACTCACTGTCATCAGCAGGATAGGAAAGGAATTTATTTTTAATTCCCATGTGGTTATTTCAGCATGAATTTGACCTGGTCTGTGTTCTTACATTGTAAGGTGTGCTACTCTAAACTGGGGTTGACAGACTGTGGCCCACAGGCCAAATCTGACCCACTCATAGTTTTTTTGTGTGTGTGTGTGCCAATCTTCCTCTTTTTGCTGAGGAAGACTGGCCCTGGGCTAACATCCATGCCCATCTTCCTCTACTTTATATGGGACGCTGCCACATCATGGCTCTATAGGCGGTGCACCGGTGCACGCCCGGGATCCGAACCCGTGAACCCTGGGTCGCCGCAGCGGAGCTCGTGCACTTAACCGCTTGCGCCACCGGGCCGGGGCCGGCCCCCACTCATAGTTTTTATAAACCAAGTTTTATTGGAGCACAGCCATGGTCATTTGTCTATGGCTGTTTTTGTGCTACATTGTAGAGTCGAGAAGTTGCAGCAAAGACAGTATGGCCTGCAGAGCCTAGAGTTTTTACTGTCTGGCCCTGTGCAAAAACGTCTGCCAATCCCTGATCTAAAACATAGGAAAGGTTTATCTTTTCTTTTTTTTTAAGAAGAAACATGCCTCTTTATCTGCTTCTAAATTTTAACTAATACCTAGTAATTATGTCTGTTTACCCACAGCTGCTTGCTATGATTGTAGACAGTTAGAAGTAATTACAGTACTGTGGAATGATTTTATTAAAAAGATAGAAATAGATTCATAACATGAAAAGAAAAATGATAATTCTCAACTGCTATTTACCTATGGAATATCTAGATGCCCTCGACAGATCTGTTAAGTCTCTAGACATGTACAAAAACAGTAGAAATCATTTCAGTTCCATTAAGTGGTCTCTATCCCCAGACCCCAGATGTCTGGAATCTTCCCCGAGCCTTCATTTATCATCACTACTGTGCGCTGAGCGCTGAGCACTGGCAGCAAACAAGGCCCTCCTCAAGTAGGGAGGGCTCAGCGCTTCCTTCCAGCCAGCGCGGGGCTTGTCTCCGGGATCGTCCTCTGTCATCAAAGCTTCAGCAGTCACACCATCAGCAGCAGGGGCCCAGGTATCAAAGAGCACCGTCCAGGAACTGAAAGTACTGGCGTAGAATGTGGAAACGTGTTTGTTGTTGAGTCAAAAGGGATGTTACGAAACAAAATAATCCCAACAGAATAAGATGGACAGTGTGTCCTAACTGTATTTAACATGTACACATGCGGGGGAAGTGACCAAAAGGATTTTTCTCAGGGTTGTACAATTTGGACTAGTTTTTCCTTTCTTCTTTTTTTATCTATTTTAGTAGACGTTTGGTGAACTAATGCTATATGACTAAATCAGTCTTCTGCTGTGATGGGATAAACAAGGGTAACTTGGTTTGTCTCTGTCCCCCTTGCTGCCTCTAGGGGAGGTGGACTGTAAGGAGATTGGAGACTGTGTCCCAGGACCAGGAGCCACGTCCCCAGACCTGTGCCTCCCTGCCCTGGATTACCTCAGGCGCTGTTCTCAGGTACGGGCATGCTCGTGCTGAGCCCCAGCCCTGAAACTGGCCTCAGAAGATGCTTGCAAAACATGTGTGGATGTCTTGCTGAAGTCCAAGAGAAACACTTTCTGCTCAATGAGGAGATGGGGGTTAGATTTGGTGTATAAATTTTTGTCCCCACCCCTTCCGTGAAGGAGAGAAAGAAAGTGATAAAGATACACTGGGACACACAGCTGGATCCTGAGACCTTTGAAGTGTCTCATTTATGCTCCGATGCATGAACTACCAAAATCTCTGTATTTGTGTCCGGCTGTAGAGAAGGAGTCATGAGGTCGTGGGAAGTCTTCCTGATAGTACCACAGCCTGGATGGTGGGGGTGCAAACAGTGAAAAGAGACATAAAAAGAATGAGAGAGATGTATTTGATGAAGATCTAGTAAAGAAATCCAGTAATGTGAACAGTGACCTTGGTTGTGCTAAATCCAATAATTCTCTGTCCTTATCCGTGTCAAATGCTGCTAGAACAAGACTATACTCCTCTCTGAAAGCCCTTTCCGCCCAGGCTTCAGTGACACCCTTTCTCAGTAGCTTTTCTCCTGTCTGAGGATGTTTCTGCAGGCCTCTCCTCTTCTGTCTGTATCCTCTCCCTCAGTGACAGCATTAAGCCCCGTGGCTTCAGAAAGGACACACGGCCCTGGCTTCTTCCTCCAGCTGCCTGCACAGGCCCCACGTGACATGACCCCCACTCCCTCCCCACCCTCAGACCCTCCTCACTCACTGTGCTCCAACCACACTCATTTCCTGCCCCTCAAATACCCCCCTGGTTACTGCTCAGGGCCATTGCTGTCCCTCTGCCTGGAATTTTTTCCTCAGATCTCTGTGTGACACTCCTATCTCCAGATCTCATCTGAAACGTCACCCCCTCTGAGGGACCAGGGTTTGAGTATCTACAAGCTCCCCCAACCTTCCCCACACAACCCGTCACTCTTTCTAGGCCCACTGGTCTAATTTTTCCCACAACATTTGTGTCAGAAATTTTATTTATTTGTGAAGGATTATTGTCTGGAAGACCCACAGGACAGAAATTTTGTCTGTCTCGCTCACAGCTGTTTCCCTGGTCTCTAGAGCAGGCACAGTTGTGATTCGGGAAGATAGAAGGACCCCTGGGAGTTTGCCTGGGGCCTGGGCTCTAGCAGCCAGAAGGGAACACAGAGCCCGGGCGGTCTCTTAGCTCTGCTCTCATACCTTCGTCTCTCCACCTTGCCCTCAGGTGCCTCCGTCTCCCCATTGGCCCCGTTTTCTTGACGTTGAGTCAGGGAAGGGGAAATCAGATCTGGGGTCCCATTTGCCTACAGACTCTCTTCTCAGTGATCCCATAGAGCACTTTCTCCCTTAGGCAAAAACTCTTGATGTGTTTCATGGCTCCCTCGTAGGTTTATAAAAGTCTGTAAAACTCATATGCAGTTGAGATGCTGAAGAGGTGTGCAGAGTCTTCTTCCTCTGCCTCTCTGTTGCACCTGCTTGAGCTGCCTCAGAACCCAAATCACAGACAACTTCAAAACATGCATGCGCTGGGGGCTTCTCTGCTTCTCTCTCTTCCTTCCATTACTGTTCTATAATTTTATTGTTTTTTAACACCCAGAGTGCAATTTATAATTGCAATTTGGTATTTTTTTATTTAGTTATTGGCCAAAATCTACAAAATGCCCATAAAGCCAATATTCCTTAGTGGGCGACTTGCTAGCTTGCCTCGAAGACTTCAGGAGCAGTCAGCCAGCAGTGAGGATGGAATTGAGTCAATCTTGTCTGATTTTGATGACGACACTGGTAAGTTAATTGATTGGACTAAGCCAGCTGATTTGCTTTGTTCATCTTCCCAGAAGTTTAAACCATGAATGAAGTAGCTTGTAGGTCATGAATGACTATCCATTTTTGTTGTTATTGTTTGTAATTCTAACAGAAAAAGTCTACCTGAAGTTTCCATGGACTCTCCAAAAACATTTTACAGCTGACGCCTCCAAACCCATCCTTTTAGGTGGATCCCTCCATCTAAAACCAGTGCAGATTTGCAGATTCCACTAAATACGGTTTCTAACTCCGAATTCTCCTGAATTTAGCAAATTGGAATGTGGTTGCATCTGGTGCATTGGTACTTAAATTGGCTGGTAATTGTCCTTAATACCTTCTAGGAAACACAATCATTATATAGTTACTTCCTGCAGGGCTATGTGGTTAGAGACTGAGGAAGCTGAACCACTACTGAAGAGAGGACCTGTTGGTGACTGGTGAAGCTGCAGGCTCATGAAGAGAATAATTTTAAAGAATGTGTTTTACATTGGTTCCCATGTAATTTCCTGTGAATTAGAGTTCAGTCTAGGAGCTTTGGATAATTTTCAGATGAGTTAATTCATGCTCACACTTGCTGTCTTCTGATTCAGACGACCCTGTCCTATTTCTAGATCTAGAAATGGAAATGATACCCTTAACAGGGTCTAATATCGGGGCATAGGTTGTTCAAATCCTTGCAAAAGGACTTTGGGGGCAGGTTTTTTAATTTGCTTTTTTTGTTTGTTTTTAATTTTTCTTCTGTTTAATTTTTCTGTTATAAATTCATTTATGAGGGTGCCTAGAAGTATTACAGTCTTCCATAGGGATTATCAACAGTAAAACCTCTCTAGTTCAGACTAGTTGTGAGGAAGAACTATAGAAAAGAATAAATATCTAATGTACAGAACAATTAAAATATTGGAAATTGTCTATTAGAGGTTTCACTGTAATGATTAGATAAGAATAACTTTTACTTAGCATCTGAAACCTTCAACCCAGACAGTGACAAGCTAGTGCTGCTTATCCACAACACAGTCTGTAGAGCAGTCGTAAACAGTTTGTGACGGTGAGCATTCCTGTCCCATTTGTGCAAATCATTAATCCATTTTTTTTTCTAGGAAGCCCATCTTCTGATGAATAAAGCTCAGCCAAGCACCTATCTAAAGTTTCCCACAGTATAAATCCATCCAGGGCTTTAAAGTTATAATTATATATGAAGCAGCTAGATCAGAGAAAAGAATAAAAGAGCTTTCAGTTAGTATTAAAAATTAATTCTCAGGGCCGGCCCAGTGGTGCAGTGGTTAAGTACGTGTGCTCCGCTTTGGCGGCCCAGGGTTCACGGGTTCGGATCCCAGGTGCGCACCGGCGCACCGCTTGTCAGGCCATGATGTGGCGGCGTCCCATATAAAGTGGAGGAAGATGGGCACAGATGTTAGCCCCGGGCCAGTCTTCCTCAGCAAAAAGAGGAGGATTGGCAATGGATGTTAGCTCAGGGCTGATCTTCCTCACCAAAAAAAAAAAAAAAATTAATTCTCACCATTGATATATTCTTAGATATTATTCCTCTGGTTTCCAAAGGCAAATAGTTACTTTTTTTCTGTGGAAATTTCAAACCTATATAAAATGAGACAGATTGGTATAATGAACCTTCATGTACCCATCACTCAGCTTCATCTATAGTTAACTTATAGCCAGTCTTGTATTATGTGTGTCTTCACGCATGTGCAGCACACTCTCCTGTGTCCCTCCCTCCACTTCCTCCTTTCCAAGTTATTTTAAAGCAAATCCCAGACGTTGTAGCGTTTCGTCTGTAAATGTTTAGTATGTGTTCTTTAAAGATAACCAACATAACCATAATGTTATTATCACACCTAAAAATTAGCAATAATTCTTTAATGACATAAAATTTTCCAGTTTTCTTATAAATGTCAGTTACTTTTCAAGATTCACATAAGAACCACACTATGTGTTTGGCTGTGATGTGTCTCTTACATCCTTTTCAATCTATAGCTTTTCCTCTCCAACTCTTTTTTACCCCTTTGCAATTTATTTGTTGAAGAAGTGAGGTACCTTGTCCTGGAGTTTCCCATTTGGATTTTATTGTTTGCCCCCGCAGTGATGTGTGACACGGTGACATGTCCTTCTGTCCTCTGCATTTCCTGTAAATTAGCTTGTCCACACCTGCTCATATTTTGAGGTTCATGAGAACTTCTTGTCACAGAGTTTTATATTTGTTGTCCATGACTTTGATTTTGCCTCCTGTTAATGGGGATATTCAAAACTGGAGAAGTCGTTTTCTAATGGGAATATTTAAAAAATACTATGTTCTGATACAGTTTTCTTTTGGAGGAAAATTAGAAGTAAAGTATTAAAATCAAAATGTAGAGTGGGCTATTTTTTTATATTCTACTCTAGGTCCTTTTGTATAAAGCTAGAGAAACTGAGTCCTTTTCTGCCTCAGCTGTCTGAGCGTGAGTTCACATGTTTCCGAAGGCAATGATGCGGAGGAATGTTGGCTTATGCAGTGCTTGTGTAAAGGCAAAACTAAAACTGTTTGGACCTAATAAAAAGAATCTCATGCTTTTTCCCTCACTGAGTAGGGAGGAGTAATGAGAATTACCTCTTCCTGAAGGGAAGTAAGGAAGAAATTTGAGAGGGTTTTTCCTTTGCCTGTGTCAGAACCTGTAAATCATAATCTGTGGGTGCTCACAGGCCCCGAGGGCTGCCCCGCTGGGGTGCCTCACACCCGTGCAGCACCTGGCAGCTCACAGGACTGTTACGTGTAGCATGTACTTCGACCTTGTGGTGACTTTGTGTTATGTTTGACTGGATTTCATGGAGGCCTGGTGTTGGTTCCCAGGTCTAATAGAAGTCTGGATCATCCTGCTGGAGCAGCTAACGGCAGCCGTGTCCAACTGTCCACGTCAGCACCAACCGCCAACCCTGGACTTACTCTTTGAGCTGTTGAGAGATGTTACCAAAACACCTGGTAAATGTTTCCATGTCTGTCTTTCTGGGAAGTTGTTATATACACTACTTTCTTCAGGGCAGTATTTCTGTGAGCGGCATCTGTTTCACTGCTGTAAACCTAGACAGCATAATAGATGCTCAGTGGTATTTGTTGAGTGGCTGTGATGCAGTGACGTTTAAGAGATGGCCTGTTATTGTTTGCGGGTCTTTCCCCCAGTCCATTCACAAATGAAGTGTGGTGGCCAGTTGGTTGAGTGTGTTGGGGCCCCGCAGTAATCAGGCCAAGGCTGTGGTATGGATGTCTCCATGAGCAGTTGGCTTTCTCACTGCTGTGGTTACAGCCTTCCTCTGTGGCTGGATCTCACATGGCCCAGGGCTGTCGGGGCCCTGGGTCTACCGCCAACACAAACAAACCACTCAGATGTGTGTGCAGTATTAAGACAGCAGCATCTGGACCGTATAAAGGTCATGGGGAGTTAGATTTGGAAAAAGAGATCACCTCATACCTGATAGTTCAGAAAAAGAATGGCCTTTAGGAATTTATGTCTTGTTCTGAATTATTCGAGGTTTGCATTCACACTTACTCATCCACATTTTCCCAAGATCAAAGAAACTTTTGTAGAAGTTTTAGTTTTCACCAACAGAACCACAAATGAAACCACTAGTTAATTCCACAGTAATAAGAGGAGTTTTGTATTCAGCCTAAACTGATGAAAACTTGATAACTGATACTCTCTTAAGATCCATAGTAAAGTTTATATAAGAATTTTTCCCAGGAAAACTATCATAGCTACTCCCACATGTTATAAAGTTAGAAGTCTTCCATCCAAGAATAAGCAGGTATTTGATAGAATTAGTTATATGCTACTATTTCTAAACCTGTTTCGCAGGTCAGGACCGTCTTCTGCTTTCACATTGATTGACACTAAGTGAGTGTGAGGAGCATTTAACCCAATAATTCTACTCCTAGAACTGTCAAAGCAAATTAACAGTAATGAAGACAAAAATGTGTATATATAATGATGTTTGCTGAAACATCTTGAATACCAAAAAAATTATGAATGCCCTAAATGGGTTAACTAAATTGTGGTAAAAGTGTTTAAATATTCTACAGGCATTAAAATGAATATTTGTGAATAATATTTAATGACATAAATAATTGTTTACAAGGCATTATGTTAAAATACGTATAGTATGGAGTACAATCTCAACTTGATGAAATTTTATGCATTTATAATTACCTGAACACAGATACATTCAAAAGTACTAGAAGGAAATACATCAAAATGTAATTTTTTTCTTCTTTGTATTCTCATGTGTTTTTGTATTTATTATAAAAAGGCTGCCTTGCTTTTGTAATCAGAATTTTAAAAATCCATCAGCATTTTCACAAAGATTTTTATTATGGCATTGTCTATAAAGCAAAAAATTAGAAACACCTTCAGTGTCCATCAGGAAGGGAATGGATAAGTGTTACATGTTCACACAGTGGAATAGCGTGTGGCACTAAAATGAGAAATATCTGAAACACGTATCGTTAAGGGCAAAAAATCAACATGCAGACCAAGGTTTACATTATCCCATTTATATAAAAGTAATGAAAAACAGAACTCTGTATTTCTCTATGTTTCATGTAAATAGATGTACTTACATCTTAAAGGGTGTCTTAATGATATGCGTATATGTATCTGTGTGCTTGCATCTGGGGACTAAGGAGTTGATCAAGGGATATTTAGCTTTATCAGTATTCTTTGAGTTTTTATGAGTGCATCCGTGTGCATAACTAAATCATGCAGAAACAAAGAGAAAAGCACCCCTAAAGACCGTGAGGTCCCCCATCAGTGCTGGATTCTTTCCCTGGAGGCTTCTCAGAGACCAGCAGTGCTGCATGACGGCAAGGAGCTTCCCTTTCATCACAGGAGGGCTGCCGAGATCACAGTTCTGATGCTGGCTTTCCTTTCTCAGGACCAGGGTTCGGTATCTATGCAGTTGTTCATCTTCTCCTCCCTGTGATGTCCCTCTGGCTCCGTCGTAGCCATAAAGACCATTCGTACTGGGATGCAGCCTCTGCTAACTTCAAGCATGCCATTGGTCTGTCCTGTGAGCTGGTGGTGGAGCACATTCAAAGCTTTATACACTCAGGTATCTATGGTACCAGAGCAGTTCATGATGAGTGTGTCTTTAGGAGGCAGCATCATTGTCTAAAAGTGCCTAGTAAATACTTAATGCAAATACCAGTGCATGATTTTTGTCCTGGAATTATTAAAATAGAATGACATGGTCAGTGCCAGCCTTCAAATAGATTATCAAAAAGAAAATTGACCCATGTGTCCTCTACAAAATTATCAAACAGAATACTTAAAATACATGTGTGACTAAAAATGAAATACCTAATAAGGTCTAGGATATCTGTGCATTAGCAGAGGGGAGGCAAGTTCAAGTATTTAACAAATTAAGAAAGAAGAAATATCCCTGTAGCCTGGGGGTGTGTCCTGTTCTCCTGCTTCATCTGGGGACGCTAAATGGAGGAGGCAGGGTTTTAGAAAAGGCTTAAATTATGGGCAAGAATTTGCTTAACATGTTACAGGTGAAGCGAAAGTTCTTAATATCTGTGGCATTCTGAGAAAGACTTGGAGGTGTGGGGTGGACGTAGGCTGAGGCCAGCAGGTGGAGGGGCTCGAGGCAGGGAGTGCGTCGGCAGCAGCACCAGGAGCAGCGCTGGGGAGACAGAGATTCTTGCCGTGGGAGGATCTGGGAGTTTGAGAGCAGAAGAGACACCACGCTGGCCCTAGAGGTTCTAAAGAAAAGGGAAGGGCATACGGAAGCATAAAGGAAGAGGTAAGAGGCTCCCTTGTTGGAGAGGTTGGAGACACACCCAGGGAGAGTCCAAAAGTGAAGATATCTCTCTACAGAGTTTAGTAAGGACCGTTTGCCCTGCCAACAGGACGAACTGAGAAAGAGAGCAGTGGGTGTTTCCACGAGGAGGTAATACTGTGTCCACAGGGGCAGGTGTTCTTGACCAGGTCGCTGCTCTCCACAGCCTGGGACCCTCGAGGATCCTGCTGAAAACTGGTTCTGTGGCCTCACAGGGACTCTGAGGAAAAGAATACAGATGTAGTCCTTGAATTGAGCACATAGAATGTGATTTGGGGAGTCCTATTTTCTGTAGTCTGTGGATAGTGTGCAAACTGAAGCCAGACTGAAAAGGTCCAAGAAGAGGTAGGACGAGAGACATTTTTGTTTTCTAAGAGCATTTAATTCAGTTTAATTTGACTGTCAGCAGTAAGGAAAATGTTTTATTTTTCCCCTTTTTCAAAGAATTTAGATGAATTATGTACTTAACTTTTAAAAATGTACATCAACACATAAAAGTGAACCACATATTTCATCTTGATATGTCTATAAATGGTTGAAACTAGCTAAAGTTGGGTAAAATCCAAGAACATTGTTGTTTGAATGGGTTTTTTTGTTATTAGGGCCATTTTTCTCTCTGTTCTGTTTCCCAGATATTGATATATCTTATCACTCAGACTTCCCTCTTTCGTGATAGATGCCATTTCAGCCATTCCTTTACTGTAAGCTGAGTGGAACCTTGCCTTGCCTCTTCCTGCAGACATCAGGTACGAGGCCGTGATCAACACTATGCTGAAGGACCTCTTTGAGTTGCTGGTGGCGTGCGTGGCCAAGCCCACGGAAACCATCTCCAGGGTGGGCTGCTCCTGTATCCGGTGAGACAGGGTCCCTGGCTCTCCACAAAACTGGAGTTTTTATTATGAAATCCAAGGGAATTAAATTGTTTTGTGATAGCAATCCACTTTTTGGTTTGCTTTTAATAAGTGAAAATGATGTTGTATAAATAAAAATGACTATGTGCTAATAATTCATTTTAGAGTTCAGTCAGCAAATATTTATTGTATGAGTCATTATACCGAGTACTCTGCTGTGTAGAAAGTGATGTAAGCCAAGGTCCCTACCCTGGAGGAGCTCATAGCCTCTCCTAGAGGACATGCTAGAGAGAGGCGCGTGAAACGTGGTAACAGTGAGAGGCTCTGTGGACGCCCTGGAAGTACAGGAGGGCGGGTAGGGCAGCCAGCAAGGGCTCTTTGTCATGGTGACACTTGGTGGGATCTTCCAAGGGGGCGAGCTTGTGATAGGTTCTCGCCGTTCTCTTTGCCAGCAGGAGAACAGCAAGAACAAATACATGGGATAAGAATTATAAGGGACAAGAGGGATTTCATTGTTTTGTTTGATCATTTTATCATTTGTTTTGATTGTAGAGGAGTAGTGGAAAATGGGGCTAGAATGGAAAAATTAGCACAGAATATATACAGTCCTCCATGCAAGCCTAAGCTTAAACACCAGCCTACTTGTAATGGGGATCCGCTGATATTTTTATATTAAAATGGTTTAGGAAATAGTATTATGATGATGGAACACGGGCGGACTGAAGGCAGAGTGATAAGAAGACAGCAGGACATGTAAGGAAACTGTGGCATGAGTCTACTCGCGCCTCTGTGTGTGCGGATTCAGGACTTCTTTCCTTGTTTCTTCCGGCAGGTACGTCCTTGTGACGGCGGGCCCCGTGCTCACGGAGGAGATGTGGAGGCTTGCCTGCTGTGCGCTGCAGGATGCCTTCTCCGCCACGCTCAAGCCAGTGAAGGTAAAGCACTCACAGGTTCCGGTCTTCCTTAGCTCCCTGGTGCCTCGTCAAGTTAGGCACCTGGATTCTGCCTCCTCCTCAGAGCAGGCAGTCTCACTTGAAGTCTTGCAGAGGGTGAGGAAGAAGTGGCTGGATCAGTGCTTTGGTCCCAGACACAGGGACTGGACCCATGAACCCAGACGCACCCAGGGAACGTCTACTGTGTTTCTCCCTAGGATCTGCTGGGCTGCTTCCACAGCGGCACCGAGAGTTTCAGTGGGGAAGGCTGCCAGGTGAGAGTGGCAGCCCCCTCCACCTCCCCCAGTGCCGAGGCCGAGTACTGGCGCATCCGAGCCATGGCTCAGCAGGTAAGGGCTGCGGCTTTTGATCCCAGGGGCTCTAGAAGCTCCTTCCTGAGGGTCTTGCATCACCAAACGACCTGCCATTCCCTTTGGGGTATACACCTCCTGGCCTGACCTCTTGCTAGTGCTATTCCTTACCAGGAATGGCCTTAACCCAGTCAGTGGCGTATGGCCCCCTCTACCATCTCTTACGTGTTGCGTCCTCCAGCACCTTTTTCTACCTGGCCACTGCACTTCATACATAACTCGACTGGCTTGTTCTGCTTACACTAGAAGTATTACTATTACCGCTAGACTATGAGTGCCTAAGAGTTTAATTATTTTTTTCCTTATATCTATCTCTCATACAGAGCACAGAGCTTAACATTTACTAGTTGCTTAATAAATTTGAGTTGAATGTAACTGATTAGTAAAATTAAAATGTACTTGCCCATGACTTTTTCTTCTGACACATGTCATAAGTCACAGAAGTTGGTTGTGAGCTCCTGAGGAGCAGAGAACATATTCTGTATGTTTGCCTTGGGATTCCTGGAGCAAGCACGTAGAAAGTGCTGAGTGACTGCTGCGTCAATGAATTGCTGAATCACAGAAGGCCTTGCAGCATAAGCACAAGATGTGTGCCCAAATGCTTGAGTGCCATGTCAGTCTGCCTCTAAGAAACCCTGCCTGGGGCTTTCATCAGCAGTCCAGTCAAGCACAGTCCCTACACTCACATCTTTTCATAACAGCACTATTCATAATAGTGAACATGGGCTAAATTCCCAACAACCATTGGTTTGCTAAACGTCTGTCATGTAATAGCAACATACTTATTTGAATTATGTCTTCACATGCAGAAGATAATTTGCATATACATATGTGTGTGTAGTGTGTGTTTAAAATATTAAGCAATTTTTATAAATGTATATGCACTGTCAAATTGAATTAAATTTGAAAAAATGAAGTGAGTTGAGGGTTATATTCAAAGGCTCCCTTTCTCTGCAAGGTCTGTTTAAATTCTTAGTGAAATTTCCCCTTAGCACATTGTTCATCCAGGATGCCCTGATTATCAACATAAAGAACTCAGTCACTTCACATTGCCAGGTGAGAAGTTGCCCGGCCAGTTCTGACTTCTGAAGGGCTTTCGCCAGCTCTCCTCAGGTAGTAGGACAAGAACCTTCCCCCTTCAGCTTCTCACATCCTCTGTGCACATTCGTAACATCCCGGGACATGATGGTTCTGCTGTTCTGAAGGGAGAGAGCATCCAAGGCCGGTCCACAGAGGTTGGGACAGAAGAAATGTCAAAAGGCTACAATGAAGAGCCACTTCCAACAGCCTGGCCATTGTGGATGGCTGCAGCAATAAGTCTGGCTAGGAACCATGACAGAGAAGCCCGAGGGTGGTTCTCCAAAGGGAGAGCTTCTCTAAACAGGAAGCGATCACACCTGGCTGATAAAGAGCTCCCGTGTGTGTACAGTGGTCTCTTCCACCACATCCCACCGCACAGCGAGAATATGAAAATGTCAGTGGAGTCCTGTTCTGAAACAGCTCATTACTGGAGAAGGACAGCAGAGACCATTTAGTGAATCTTTCACTTCTTAATATTTCTCTCTCTCTTCCTCAGTCCCAAACCTTCCTCCTGTATTCACTCTTCAGATAACCCAGTATTCAATAATCTCACAATTCTTACAAGATTTGGAAAGAAAAAGCTCCTTAAAAATACTCATGTTTCCAAAGGGACATGATGACTCTTTTCATGGTCACTTTTCCCGTTGTCTAGTAGGGGGCTTGGCCGCATCAGTAGTCGTGACAGGAGAAGTCCTAGTTAAGTTCTTATTCCTGCGTTGGGTGGAGTATGGTACCAAGCAGACATCAAAATCAGAGAAGATCTTGACAGACACGGCCCCTCTGTTCGCTCTTAATATGAGCCATCAACACTCGCTCTGCGCTCTGCGGAGGGGTAGAGTGAACTGTCGTATGGTGGAAGTCGCAGTGTTGTCAATGTCAGCAGCTCGCTTTACTGAATATTTGCTCTTCCAGAGCTTTCATGTGCAACACACACGTTAACTCATTTAATCCTCTCCACAAACGTACCAGGTAGGAACCCGTTGTCCACCTCACTTGATGGGTGATAAAATGAGTAGAAGGAGTAAGCAGCTTGCCTGGGGCCCTCCAGCTAATCCCTGGTGGAGTCAGGTCAAGGCGGGTGGAGCTTGACCTCACCTCTGTACACCCCGCAGGTCTTTATGTTGGACACGCAGTGCTCACCAAAGACTCCCAACAACTTGGATCATGCCCAGTCCTGTCAGCTCATTATCGAGCTGCCTCCTGACGAGAAGCCAAGCGGACACACCAAGAAGAGGTAAGCAGCGAAGCTTAAACACTAGTGTGCTGATAAGTAGCAAAGTTCATGTATTCCAGTTCTGGCTCATCATAAACCAGGCTATGGCCCAGAATACTGAAAACATTTTGGAGTCATTTAGCAATGGTTTTCATAGGAAATTGTTAGCCTTTTAACCAGATTTCCCACATGTCACATGTATCAGTTTGCTAGGGCTGCCAGAACAAAATACCGCAGACTGGGGGCTTCAAAACAGAAATGTGTTTCCTCCCAGTTCTGGAGCCTGGAAATCCAAGATCAAGATGTCAGCAGGATTGGTTTCTTCTGAGGCCTCTCTCCTTGGCTTCTAGATGGATGTCTTCTCCCTGTGTACCCACCTGTGTCCTTATCTCCTCTTCTTGTAAGGACACTGGTCGTATTGGATTACAGCCCAGCCGTATGACTGCGTTTTAACTTAATCACCCCTTTAACAGCCCCATCTCCACATACAGTCACATTCTGAAGTGCTGGGGGTTAGGGCTTCAGCATACGCATTTTGAGGGGACACGACTCAGTGTGTTTATAACATTATACATATTATAATCTTTTTTTAAAAAATAATTGTAATTTGAGGCATGAGTCACATTGTTTCAGTGAGAAATGCATCCACTTCTCGTGAGCAATCCAGTGGTCGGGAGACAAAAGGGTCTGTGCCCACCACAGGACACTTTCCCTTCTGAAATACCATCATCTGCCTAAAGACTGTTGTCCCAGAGTTGAAGATGGAGGCCGTGACTGAAATCTCCCCCTTCAGACCTGGGGCGCACCGTAGTCACGATGAGAAGTATTTGAGGATAGACGTTTCCACTCCCGTTTCACCCACGAGGAGACGGTCAGAGAGGCTGGGTCACTTGTGAAGGACACATTCCTGCGAATGGCGGAGCCGGACTCAAAACCGTCTGGCTGAGATAATGCCTGTGTCCTTCACTGCTGCCTTTTTAGGGAGAGAGAGTGATTTTTCCAAAAGTTAGCCAGTCAATTGGAGCAGTTCGAGTAATAGAATCATTTGGGTGAAATTTCCAGGTACTAATTTTTTTTAGCCAAGTGTGTGGAAGATACAGAAGGAAAAGTTACGAAGCGTGAATAAAAGCTGGAACAGCTGTGAGCCTGCCACTGAAGTTCAGAAACGGGACTTCACCAGTGTCCCGAGTGCTCCCCCAGATCTGGGCTCCGCCTCCCCACTGAAGGCCTCCTTTTCATGGTGGTCCTTTGATCGATGCGTACCGGAGGCCGTGTGCTCCTTCTCACATCTTTGACCGTTGACTGTTTCAGAATTTCAGTTCTTTCCCTACCTGCTTCCTTTCTTATGTTTCTAGTTTCCTTTCAGCCAGCTTTTCTTGCTGGAATATTCTTTGAAGTAAAAGTGGGAAGAGCAGGCTGAGCTCACAGTGTAAATGAAACGGACCAGGATCGCCCCGGCGCCAAGGCTGTTGGTTTAAAGGTTCTAAAGGGTTACGACTTAACATTCATCAGCATGGTTCATCAGTTTGCTTAGTCCTACTTAAACACCTACCCCCTCAATGAAGTTCAGTAAGAGAGGAAAAGCATATTGAATTCCATAGCAGAGCCCACTGGCTACTGAGCCAAAAAATATTCCCTAGCATTCTTTACGAGCTCTACACAAACTGTATTTTGCATTCTTGGATTTGACTCATTACAGGGGCAATGCTTAATTTAGCACAGGATGTGGTGGGAGGTGAGTTAGACCTAAGAAAAGTTTGCGTATATGCCTGTCAGGTGCATCCTCAAAGGTCCACGTTGAAATCACCCATGGAAAACAAGACCTAAATGAAAACCAGATTACAGCATTTAGACAAACGGCTTTAACACTGGGAGCGCCAAGCTTTACACAGGCCACATAACCTTACTTAGAGCTTTAAGATGTACTTTAAACGGTGAATCTGTTTGTCTCTGCTGCTGCTGACCTTAGCCTGTCTTAAGTCAGCCACTCATCGTGCAGTTAACTCGCCAGCATCCCCTCCGGAGGCTTGCTTCCCTTTGCAGTCGGCACCCGAAGCAGGAGGCGTAGGTCTCACCACTTCACAGTCCCCTGTGCTGAGAGAAAGGTCGGAACACAGAGGTTCAACGCGTTGAAAACGTGTTTGTTGACGGTGTTTGTTCCCGATCTTGCTGTCTCCTGCCAGCACCGAGGACTGAGTTGCGCCTCTGTAAACAGTGATTTCACTTTGTCGGTATCTTTCTGGAATTTTCATCTCTGCAGTATTGCTGCTGCTTCTCTTCTTTGTTTTCTTATTGCTGCGTCACTTGTAGCTTGAACCTGAAGTCAAGGGGATTTTCTGTCCTTTTCTACACACGCAGCTGGCAATGTTATATCCTAAAGCATCAAAGGGAATGTCTTGTTGACAAAGACAATTCAGACATGGCCTTGCACCAGCCCTTTCCTTAGGTGTTTGCTAGAGAAGGGCTTTCTGTTTCTCAGGGAAGGTAACAGAAACACCTTTGAGGGCGAGGCTGTTACACTCCAGGGCTGATCACACCCCCTCTGGCTATGCTTCCTGCTCCACTACAGGAGCCCAGGCTGCCAGGCGTCGGGCCGACCTGTGGGAGCCACTTCTCAGCGAGAGCTCTCTCCCGGGGCAGGGCTCTGTGCAGGCCCCAGCACTCAGAGCCCGTCTGGGTTTGTTGTTGGGTTTGTCTTGGAGATTCACTGAGTGCTGCTCTCACCAGATGTTTTCCCAGACCATGGAGACAAGAAGATGAGTCAGTCACTACCCTGTCCTTGGAGGACCTTGTGGTGTGGGGGAGACAGACAAGGGAATGGGCTTGCACCTCAGTGACGGGATTTCCCTGCTGAGTTAGGGTCCTGGAGTTGTGGACATGAAGCACTAGAACAGGTCAGTGGCTTTTAGAGCCCTCTTCTTCAGAAGAATGCATATCCACGTCTCTTAACACTTTAAGTAACTAGTCAGAAGTTACTGAAGTAGGAGCTGAGGGGAGGGCCAATGGGGAGTTATTATTTAATGGGCACAGTTTCAGATTGGGATGATGAGAAAGTTCTAAAGATAGATAGTGGTGAAGGTTACATAACACTGTGCATGTACTTAATGCCGCTGAATTGTACTTTTAAAAATGGTTAAAACAGTAACTTTGTTAAGTAACTTTTTTTGTGGTAAAGTACACTGAAGTGATTTCTTAGGAAAGGCTACTGTTTGAATGGTAGTCCTTTGCTCCTCGTCCCATTGCTGAGGTTTCCCTCCGTGCACCGCTGCGCAAGGGGCAAGATCAGCCTTTAAATATACATGGGAGGATTTTTGTTCTTTTCTGCTAGTTATACAATAATTTTTAAATTCAAGGTTATAGCTAGACATATGAGAATCGAGAAAAAAATTATTAACATAACAGTTGGACCTTCGAAATCAATATTGTTAACGAGAGTTGTCATAATTTTGTAATTACCAGTTATGGGAATTCTAACTATTTTCATGAAATTCTAAGAGCAGTGAAAAGAGCATGAAACTTTAAGCCCAAAACCACATGGTGAATTAAAATGTCCGGTAAGCACAGTACCTGGAATTGAAGTTGTTTTCTTAGTACAGGAATCCAACAAACAAAGGGGCTGAACCATGAGTATTTGAGCCCTCCCTTCTCACACTGCCTTCTCGGGCTGCACCCTGGTCAGGAAGAACATGAGGTTGTCGTGACCTGGCCAGATGTCTGGGGGACGCGCCCTCTCCCACCTCCCCATCCCACGAAGCTGACCTGAGAGGCATCTCGGTGGATCCAAATGAGCACTAGAGGCCCTGTTGGCAGGAGAGGATGCAGAGGGAGTTAGCGTGTGGTGAGCGAAGGCCGCCCTCTCTCCGAGGTTTGTTCTAGAAGGCTGTGAATTAGATGACCAGTTTCTTTCCTTGAAAATGTTAGCCTCATAATACCGCCAATGTTAAAACTTTTCAGTATTGGCTTTCCTCTATCTCACGTGCTGGAACCACTGAGGTTTTTACATACATGCACCTAAAGCATTAACATTTAATTCTGGAAAACTGGTTTGGTTCCTGCAAAGCCAGACTTCAATAAGATTATAAAAACTTTGGGCATAAGAAAACATGGCAAAGGATAGGGAAAGGGCCAATTAAAATTAATATAACTCAGCCGAAATTGTTGCTTTCTTGATTTGCTATGTTTTATTACTCACAGTTGTGAGAGAAAATAAGATGTGTCACATCCCATAATTTTGCTACAGTAATCCCCCTTATCCGCAGGGGACACGTTCCAAGACCCCCAGTGGATGCCTGCAACACCGGGTAGTGCTGAACCCTACACGTAATATGTTTTCTCCTGTACATACATACCTGTGATAAAATTTAATTTATAAATTAGGCACAGTAAGAGATTAACAACAATAACTTCTCTTTGGCGTATCCGAATTGCCAGCATCGCTACCCTTGTGCTGTGGAGCCAATATTAAGTAAAATAAGAGTTTCTTAAACACCAGCACTGTGATACCAGGACAGTTGATCTGATGATAACCACAACGGCTACTGTATATAGTAGCATGTACAGCATGGATATGCTGGACAGAGGGAGGATTCACATCCCAGGTGGGAGGGCACAGATTTCCTCACGCTCCTCAGAATGGCATGCAATTTAAAACTTATGAATTATTGCTGGAATTTTCCATTTAATATTTCTGGATCTCAGTTGATAGTGGGTAATTGAAACTGCAGAAAGCAAAACCATGGATAAGGGAGGACAACTGTACATTAAAAATTTTTTATAAAACTGTTCTTTTTGTTTTCTGAGGCTTGTTGATAATTGTTAATTCTGTCATAACTTATATAAATCTATAAAGTATCTGGAATTCCATTAATCATGATTAAGATGGTTATCGTGTAATGGCCCAAGAAGTTTTCCCTTTTTTAAGCAAGACATTAAAATACTGGTAGTTTACTTTGTTGTTTTGCGTGTGTCGTTCTCAAGTGTGTACCATCGGAATCGCTGTAAAGTGATTCACATGAGGCGGCAGGCTACTGACCAGTCCCTGTCTTTGCATTTGCAGTGTTTCCTTCAGGGAGATCGTGGTGAGCTTGCTGTCTCACCAAGTGTTACTGCAGAACTTGTACGACATCTTGTTAGAAGAGTTTGTCACACGCCCCTCTCCTGGGGAGGAGAAGACGATCCAGGTGCCGGAAGCCAGGCTGGCCGGCTTCCTCAGATACATCTCCATGCAGAACCTGGCGGTCATATTTGACCTGCTGCTGGACTCGTACCGGACGGCCAGGGAGTTCGACACCAGCCCTGGGCTGAAATGCCTGCTGAAGAAAGTGTCCGGCATCGGGGGTGCCGCCAACCTGTACCGCCAGTCTGCAATGAGCTTTAACATTTACTTCCACGCTCTGGTCTGCGCTGTCCTCACCAATCAAGAAGCCATCACTGCCGAGCAAGTGAAGAAGGTTCTTTTTGAAGATGATGAGAGAAGCACAGACTCGTCCCAGCAGTGTTCATCAGAAGATGAAGACATCTTTGAGGAGACTGCCCAGGTGAGCCCCCCAAGAGGCAAGGAGAAGAGGCAGTGGAGGGCTCGAATGCCCTCTTTGAGTGTCCAGCCCATCAGCAATGCAGACTGGGTGTGGCTGGTCAAGAGGCTGCATAAGCTGTGCATGGAACTCTGCAATAACTATATCCAGATGCACTTAGACCTGGAGAACAGCATGGAGGATGTTCCCACCTTCAAGAGCGACCCCTTCTTTACCCTGCCCTCTTTCCAGTCCGAGTCATCCACTCCATCAACCGGGGGGTTCTCGGGGAAAGATACGCCTTCTGAGGATGACCGAAGTCAGATACGGGATCACACAGGTGGGTCTCTGAGCCTGAGGGGGGCCAGTGGGGAGCTGCCGCCACTGCCCCCCCCCAAAGGGGAGAAGAAGGATCACAGCCGGAAGAAAGAGTGGTGGGAGAATGCGGGCAACAGGATCTACACCATGGCGGCCGACAAAACCATTTCAAAATTGATGACTGAATACAAAAGGAGGAAACAGCAGCATAACCTGCCCCCCTTCCCCAAAGAGGGCAAGGTGGAGAAGAAGGGAGAGGCCCTGGGTCCGCGGGGCCCAGACTCCCCACTGCTGCAGCGTCCCCAGCACCTGACAGACCAAGGGCAGGTGCGACATTCCCTCAGTGCCGGCCCCGAGCTGCTGCGACAGAAGAGGCCGCGCTCGGGCTCCACTGGGAGCTCCCTGAGTGTCTCTGCCAGGGACGCGGAAGCCCAGATCCAGGTGGGTTCCTGCCGGCCAGAGAGCACAGGGCGGCGCGCTGGCAGTGCGGAGGGAGGCTGGGTTTCCAGTGACAGACATGTCCCCTTCAGGAGCACTCGAACCCCAGCAGGAGATATAAGCCAGTTTACCTCCCAAGTCAGCACGCCTGCGCCTGAGAGGAGGATCCATCTGTGTCAGGGTATCAGTGCGTAACGGATATTTTATTCTCAGATAGTTTCAGGAATTGTTTTTATAGGTTATAACGTATTATTGAGAATCAGGAACCCATCTGTATAAATAAGGTGAAGCTAAAGCTTTTGAAATGGATGGACTTTAGCAGTTGTTGAGTCCTGAGTATACCATTTGAAGCGAGCACTGAAGAAATTCTCTAGTTATGAAAAATTATTAAAGGAAAAGGCAAGCTGCATATTATTATGTGGTTATACCAATGACTTCTTTTCATCTCAAGTTTTCTAATCCATCCTAAGCACATAAAAATCCTCATTCTTCACGGGGCTTTGAGTATTCCTATTCCTTCATATAGTTAATATTTGTAATTCTATGGTACATCAAAAAATGAGTTTGAGAAGAAAACAGTGTTGGTACTGTTTTGTTCAACTTGAGAAGAGATTAGATGGGCAAAGAGAGAAATGGAGGGATCTAGAGTCATGAAGAGCCCTTTAAAAATAGTCTGGATGTTTATCTTAAATTGTAGACCCCTGTTGCAGGCATAATAAGTTAGGAGATCTTGGGCCCTAGGATTCTATGAACCTACACAGGAGTATATGCTTAGAATGAACATAAATTTGAAATTAGTATGAATTTTGGAAGATACCTTATTTTCCTCTGAAGTGTCTTGAACATAGAACTAAACTTCATAATTCAGAATCTGCAGAAGTCATCTTAGACTAGATTTGCAAAGGTAGTCAGACTGAGATTCGCGGTTCTTCTTGAACACTGACCTTCTTGACAAATAACATGCCTTAATTGCCTTCTCACCTCTTGGAGAGGTGCTTGTGATTTTAAAAGTTATCCTAAATTAAGGTAGACCTATTCCAAGTTTTCTAGGCATTATAGGGACTGCTGATTAAAAGTGTCCCATGGCCTATGGAAATCTCATTATGAGAAGGCAAGAGTCTTTAAAAATCTGAGGAATAAATAAGATTTTTGTAGTTTGTGAAAGCTAAAAATAAGGTATTCCTAATGTTAGATGAGTCTCTGCTATTCCTTATATATATGAACTTAAAATGAAAATTTATTATAGACACATTAAATTAATAAAGACTAATTTATTGCAGCGTAAAGCCTGAGAAAACTCATTTGCAAGTGGAGAGGGCTTAGCGCCACCCGAGAGTTCAGAGGAAACCACAGGAGAAAGCTGCTAATTCTCTTAAATCTTTCTCTTAGGCATGGACCAACATGGTGCTAACAGTTCTCAACCAGATTCAGATCCTTCCAGACCAGACCTTCACAGCCCTCCAGCCAGCAGTGTTCCCGTGCATCAGCCAGCTGACCTGCCACGTGACTGACATCCGAGTCCGCCAGGCTGTGAGAGAGTGGCTTGGCAGAGTGGGCCGAGTCTATGACATCATTGTGTAGAAGACTCACGTCCGTTCCCAAGGAGATACAGGAGCGAGGGTTAGAGTATAGAGCATGCCTGCCAGTCCAACTGATCACGTTTTCCCCACGGAAACCAGTGTCTCAGAGAACAGTTAGCTGCTCCCTAACTCGTCAGCACTGGGGCCGTTTGGATACTAAGGCTGTATCTAGATGACACAACCATACTCTGATTTTGCACATTATTTCAGAAGAGTCTACATTCCTTGACACATTTCTAAATCCTGAAGTTTATTTCCCAGCAATGTTATCGCCAAATGGGTCACTTTCAAGGACCACTCCTTTGAAAACACTACATTGATCCATCATTTTTTTTAAAAAAATAATTGCATTATTTTTTAAAAAAAATATCTGCTGGTAAGTCAAGCTGATGTATACTCAGACATCCAGTACCAGACATTATTAATTGGAGGAAGATTTGTATTATGATTATGGTTTGGCAGGGAGAGCAACAGCTGGAAAAATATATTCTTGGGTGTCATAATCAAGAAAGGGATGACTTTCTCTGTGAAATATTCCGGAACATTCTAAATTGTTCCTAAGTTGTCAAGATCTTCTGGTTGGTATTCGCCAACCTCCTCGGTAAGGTACTGTTGTGCCTTATTTCCCTGTTTCTGGAGGAAGAAAATTCTTTCCTGGCAGGGTGTAAGTCTGTGGCATGGCAGGCTTTGACACACAGTACCCAGTGGTGACGTTCCACGAGACCTAAGAGGGACTGGCCGCCAGGCCGCCTTGGCTGTCCCGTGAGTCTTTGCTTTTGCTCCCAAGACAAAAAAGGAAAGAGAAAGAAAGAAAGGTGCCTTAGCTCTTTGTTGCACAGACATTTCTATGCTCCACAGTGATCTGAACATAGGGTACATTTGGTTTTTAAGAAAACAAAACATTAAAATGCAACTCATTTTATATCGACACCCATGGAGGAAAGGAACTCAGTTCTTCACCCAGTGAGCAGGCTTCTCAGGGAGGGGGTGGGGAAGGAGATTATGAGGAAATCGCTTTAAACCTTAAAATTTATACAACAGTCAGGTGACCTCATGGTGTCAGCCACATAAGCCCTAGTCTCAGAAGAAAAGAAAACTGAAGCAGAAGGGCACAGCATGAAGTTTAGGAAAGTACATGTTCAATTTAAAGTAGTTCTCCCTGGCAAGTAAATTACCCTGTGTTTGAGGTCTTTTTATTCAGGCCAATATTTTAAGCGGATATTTCTTTTCCTAAATATTACTAGAAAATTAATTTGGAAGCTTTGTCTTATGATTTACAGTATACTTAGCATTTCTTAAATTATAATAATGATTGAAACTCCTCAATCAAGCCCACTCATATACATTATAGAGAGTAGAGTTAGTTGCTAAGACATAATTTTCCCAGCCCCTAAAAATTATTTGTAATCAAATGTCATCCTTTAAAAATAAAACATCAACTCTTCAGAATGGAAGTAAGGATTTAAAACTGAGAACTGTATTCAGTTCTGGTATTTTTAACTTTGTCTTCCTTGAGAAACATAACACGATCTGCAAGGTAAGAGGAAGACAGGGCTCCCTGACTTATTTAGGCCATCTAGAGTAACCTCGTCATTCATGTGCCAACTAGAGAGCACCCCAGGACTCAGAAGACGGTTTTCCAGTTCCACAAAACACTGTTTGCCTTCAGAGTTTACTCATTAGACAATAATTCAAGTGTAGAAACAGGTCAACTATTTGATCTTAACAAGCAGTGAATTGTTGGGAGAGCAATGAGCCATGTTCCATACTTTTGAATTTTTATATTTTGTAAGTAGAATTGAAAGTTGAGTAGATACTTTTTTTTTTTTTTAACAAAAGCAGTACACCGTGGTTGTTTTCTTTTTCTTTTTGTAGCTTATCTGAGGTTCGGTTCTCCTTTGTGAGCCCTGAATACTACAGAATTTACTGGGGAAAGAAAAAAAGCTTCAGTAAAGCAGAGTAATTACAAAATGTTTATATTAGCAACTTTTTATAAAGTATAAAAATTCAAAGGAAGCCAGTCTCGATTTGTGGGTATCACGTCCCAGAGTCTGTTACTTGTTCAGCAGGCAGAATTCATTCTCGGGCAGAGTCTCTATTATGGGATCCGAGGCTGGTTTATGAAAATAGATCTACCCCATCCTGTGTCCCCACTCAGCTCTAGTACTGGCCTGACCGAGTCCCAAGAGTAAAACCCTGAGAGCCTGTACAGAGCTCTTGACCCACAACTCGGTCAGGGATTTGGTCCCTCACTTCATCTTCTCCATCACCCACCCCAGGGCCAGACTGGTCTTCATCCCACCTCCAGATTCTGGCCAGATTCCAGTCAGAAAATTAGCTAAGTCACAGCAGTGCTTCTCACAGGTATTTGCAGTTTTCAAAAAGGACATTGTTTGATGCAAATTACCTCTAAGGAACAGGACTTAAGGTCACAGTGAAGTCAGTCAAATCTTCCCAGGGGTGACAAAGAAAGGGAGACCATTAAAAACCCCTGGTAGATGAGTAGTCCCTTCGCAAACTGCCCCGCCCGCCCTCTGTCCTGGTGTCTCAGTTTCCCCATCTCTTCCTTCACTGTCTCCCACAGCCTTTATAGTCACAACAGTTATTACCATATATTCACGGATCTGAGCAGACAAGGCTTTGCACATTGCTTTTAGTTGCCTGTATTTACTGCCAAAAGTGTGTTACCCTGAGGTTGAGATTTACTCTCTAATGTTTTGGTAAAGTGTCCATCATGTAAAAAGCACCTGGAAACAAAGCGTAAAGGGATTCCTGAGAGCAGCTCAGCCAGGAGCACCACACCCTGCAGCAGGGCTCTCCGCCAGGAGGCCGTCCTCGTGCTCGGCTCCCCCGGCTCTGGCGCCTCCCAACCAGCCTTTACACCCTCCTGTCCTCTCTCCCGTGTGGTTATTGTCTAGCTTCCTCCATCTGTGCAAAGCTAGGGCACCTTTTACCGTTTTTAGGCTATTCAAGACTGACCCGTTAAAATATTAGCTCAGATTAAAATATTTTCAATCAAACATGACAAAATGCAACATAAGTCAAAAGTACCTTTAAATGGAAACTTCTTGGTACAACAGCATTAGGCTCTTTGTTGTTTTAAGGAGAGGCTTATGCAGGGTCAGCAGAGAGTCAGTGGCCTGAACTGTGAGAAGGTAATGCAGTTATGTAATAGAGACCCCCCTCTTCCCCCAAATACGTCGCAATACTGCTCATATAGCTCAGTGTCAGTGCCATCAAACCACACAGAACACAGACCCTGCTGGGGGCTGGTGACAGCAGCAGGAGGCTCCAGGGGCAGGGGAGTTACCGTTGTTGAGTGCCACCGTGAATGTGGGTCTTTACCCACCTCGTCACGTCTGAGTCTCACAGTAGCCTTGTGAGACGGGTACTGTCTTCCCCATTTCGTCAGATGAGGACACAGACCCAGAGAGTTTAAGAAACTTGCTGGAGATAACCAGTAAATGGCAAAGTTGGTTGCAGAAGAGGTGTTCCTGAGCTCAGGCCATGCTCTCTTCCCACCTTCATGCCCCTAGTGTACAAACACTTCAGTGTTCTAGGGAACTAAACGGTTAAAATAAGTGGAAATGACTTGATGTCCCAGATCCATAGTGTTATGAGTATTTTTAAAATAGGGTTAAAAAAAGAATAAGAAAAAGATAGTGTTTATACACGGAAAGATCATATATAACAATTTTTTTTGGCTGTTTGAAAATAAAGGAAACAAAATCTAAATTTTAATCTTAAAGCAGAGCCTCAGTGGTAATTTAGAAAACTCACTAAATTAGGTGGAAATGAGGGAATAATATTGTCCTTGGCCGGCTGTTATGCAGAAGAACCAGTCTGTGTCTAGAATGATGTGCACGATTTGGAAACCTCTTTCAATTCCCACTTAATCACTCAGAATAAAGTGCCCTGTAGCCAACAGTGCCTCTCTACTTGCCTCCCAGGAAGTAGATAATACTAAATTTGTAGGTAATCAAGGTTCAGGAATATGCAAAGTAAAGGATAACCATTCTTCAAAATGCACCTTCTCTGAAAAGGAAGCGGCTGGTCGGACAAGATTGTTTAGAGACCCCGGTACTGAGGGCATCAGGTCAATATCCATAGCATCCTCATGCTGTGATGCCTCCCCAGATTTCTGCTTGCTTTGCAGAGGAGGAAGCAGGCAGAGGTCAGTCCACACGTTGCACCATGCGGATGACAGAACTTACACGTGCTTGGGGACTACTTAGCTGAGCCTAGTCAGACTTAGTGTGGCCTTCAAAACTTAAGCACTTTTTATTGGAATTATGAGCTTATTATTGGCAAGATTTATGAAATTAGTAAAAAAAAAAAAAAACCTCATAATTATGCCTCATTAAAAAAAATGTGTTCTCATTCATTAGTGGACCAATCTAGAAAACTGTCTTTTTGTGAGATCCTCTTCCTCTGCTTGCATTGTAATGTTTGTATTTGATGTGGAAGTAACTAATAACTTAAAGTTTTGGACTAGAACACCATTTAGATTTCCAAAACACAATTATTACTTCAGGGAAGATAGGCCAAAAGAAAATCATCCTCTGGAATAGTCTAGGAAAAACTCAGTTGAAAACAGTGGTCGCCGTCCTCATAAACAGTGGCACCGCTTAGTGAAGAAAACACACTAGCACCCCGCGAAACCTTTCCCCTCTATCTCTGTGTAGTAATTCAGGGGGTTCCAGGGAGGAGAGGCTGGTGGTCATCTTAGTGACAAAACTGCAGTCAACTGCTGGTGAATCCCATTCGGTTATGGTTCTTCCGGCCTTTCAACCACCGAGATTGTTTGTACTGTTACTTCCTATCCTGGAGGTTTGAGTAGGGGTTGTCTAGTATCTTTTCACTTTAGAACAGTGGTTCTTAAACTTTCGCAAACATCAAAACCACCTGGAGGGCTCACTTATGCCCAGGGTTTCTGAATCAGTAGGTCTGGAAATTTGCATCTCTAACAAGTTCCCAGGGGAGGCCAGTGCTGCTGGTCTGGGGACACAGATGGAGAACCACTGCCTCAAAAAAAATCTCCAATGACCACCTTTAAGATCAGCCTGACTTATCAAGCACTA